CAATTCCTTAATGAAGCACGAAGATAGGAAATAATCATTTCAAAAGAAGATTAATCGTTTGAAAATAAAATATTGTATTTCATTCGGAGTTTAAGTGACTTTATGTTACTCGTATGGACTTAATTCGCCTCGCTATCGCTCGGCGTTTAATCGTCCATACTCCGTCACATAAAGTATCACTTAAACTCCTAATAAAATAAATATCTATTATTTTATTTTATTTATTTTATTAATAATTAGGAGGCTAATAAAAACGTAGAAATATGTTTTGTATATGATTTATTTAATTGTTTTATTGAATATAAAAATATAAGATATGTAGATGAAAAATGATACTTTATTTAATGTAACTAGTAGCAATACAACTAAGAATGTTTGAGTAATATTTCAATAGATGTAGAAGGTGTTCCAATAGTCTGGTGACACAAATGTAGGTATTTATCATGGGGTATTAAAAATAAGTTTTATGTAATCTAGCAGAAGCCACCTAGAACTGAAAATAACAGTCATTTTTAAATATACAAGGTGTTTCTTTTAAAGGTTTCACACTCGAGTTGTATTTTTTAAAATTTTAAGCAACAGTCCTTTTTTGACATTTCTCTTTTTCTAGAAAAGATATCCCTACTTAAAAATTCAAATTTCCGCTATTTTTAAAGAAAGAGGTTTGGTATCTTGCATCTATAATTACCATTATAGAATGACATCACACATAAATGAAAACTATCAAAATAGCAGTTTTTTTACATACGGCCCTTGCAAGCTGTAATAATATGTCGTATTATGTGTGTATACAGTTGCTATTGCGACACTAAAATAACCGACACCTTTCTAAGTACGTAAATATTTGTTTGCTAAACCTTTCACAATTAAATATATAGATAAACAAGTATAAGAACACAATCGCTATGAAATTAATAACAACTAATGGAATTTCGTGTTTCTTTTGCCGTGTGATCGATTATGATGCGTGTTAGAAGAAAATTGTTGCGGTTTTTCACGTTGCGATGATGTGTTGATATTTATCATTCCATTTTATTGCCTATTTGTATCTGCATGATTTAACCTAACATGTTATACCATTTGCTATATTGTTAGTTTTATTCTTCTACAATGAATTTTAATTTTTTTAACCATAACTGACAAAACTATCCGTAGTTGCGTTAAAAAAATTAGATAATCTTCACTATTACATATTTTATATAAAATATAAGTATATACAATTACAACTGTCAAATAAACGACTATATCAAAAGTAATCGTCACGAATGGTTGTCAACATTAAAAAGGTGTATTGTATTTTAGCAAACAAATTTTAATATGAAGGTGATCCTGCGTTCATTTTTGCTTCCCGAGCGTAAGCTAAGGAAGTATGTATAGTAATCGAGTCCATAGGACGAAGTGCTACTTTTATGTTTTTTCGATGTTTCATGACCCCTACAGTACGAAAAAAGTAGTCTCCCGTTTCGGTCTGTCTGTCTGTCTAGTGTCTGTATCCATTTTTATTATACAAGTAATCTCCGAAACTGCTGGATCGATTGTTGTCAAATTTTGTATGTATATTAGGAATATCACGTAAATGGTTAAATGTTAACCAAAAATTGGCTACAATTTGATGACGTCATTCCAATGAATGGTATTCTAAAATGACTTGAATGTTACCAAAAAATATACTCATATACTTGTAGTGTACGAATCCACTTTCAGTTTTTTTGCTAAACGTTTAAATTTATATAAAAATATTTGTAAGGTTTTATTCCGGACGAAGTTTGAACCTCTTCGTGGCGCAGTGGATGTATCGCAAAGAGCAACGTACTCCGGTTGTAGTTCGATTCCGAACTTGGCTCTTTCTTTTTTTTTTCTTGCATTGGTATAACGCTGTGACTACTTTTCTTTTATGCTGTGACTAGAATTGTCTATGTTGATGACGTCATCACAATCTTTTATTGGTCAAATTAAGAACGAGTCACCCCATTTTCTAGAAAATGTGAAGAATACGCACGTCTTTATATAATAACGATAAAATAAAAATTATAATATTTAGAACATGTTGTTAGATTGTGGTTTATTTAATAATTTTAGTCTTATTTTGAAAAGACAAACTCATTAAAATCAAACTAATTTCTACGTGACATTCTTTCCAGCTTCAGATTGCTATTAGCTGCTGTTGAAGGACAAGGGATGTTATTTATGGCTCTGGTTTTTTACTTTACAGCGGTTATCACAAAACGAAAATCGTAACATTAAATTTTAATAATTTTTTCAAAGAGCTGGATTTGTCGGATTATACTTATAGCCTTCGAGCAATTTTTATTCATCAAATTAAGAGCCTCATTTTTTAGATTTGCTTATGATCACTCAAAAAATTAATGAATCAGTCAATTTATTTTATTGAATAAATCAAGAATTGCAAAATTGAATACTTTGAAATCTTGCAGACGTTTTAAAGTTATTGTGAGCATGGCAAATTGTGAATCAAAATCTAACTGTTTTCCCCCAAAAAATTAATGACGTCATCTCAAAATTTTGCCGAATAAATTGTATCCAAAATATAAGCAAAATATGATGAGTTGTTACTTGCGATTTATCTTTGCATTCATATTTTTTAGATTTGCTTAAACATGTGGCTCAAAAAAAGAGAAAGAATGAGACAATTTATTTTATTGATTAAATCAGGAACGACTCACTCCATTTTCGCAGAAAATTTTAGGAATAAAATACTGTTATTTTTAGTATTACACTGCACCAATACAAGTTGATATACGTGTCGTTGCAAAATGTTGATGACGTCATCACAAAATTGTGTAAAGAAAAAACTCAACTCGAAAGTGCTGGATATGGTTCATTGTACGTCAGGAGCGAGGGAAGTTCTGTCGAAACAACTTTCGACCATTTTTTTGATAAAAGAAACTGCAACCCTTGCTTTTTTTTTAAACAATGAATTTACATATGCACGCAGGCTATTATTCTCTCTATAGAAATTTAATATCATTATTTTTAGTTAAAAAATAAAAAAAGTTGTTCAAGGTATTTGAAGCGTCCTCTTTTAGCTGACTCATGCTTTATTTAAATTGCAAGATTTTATAGTTTTCAAATTTTCGTGAAAATTAGAATTATTGTTCCTGAGATAGAAATCTCCTTTTTTGAGATCAATACATCATCAATTTTCAAGGAAAAGTAGAAGGTACTATTGGACTTTTTTTTTCACAGATCTCAAAGCAAGTTAAATACAACATATGATTATTTATTGATTTTTTTACTGGGATTGTATATCGCGAAATCAATAAAAACACCATCAAAGACAGCCATGGGTTTTTGAAAGTTTGCCTGTGATAATTGCATTTTGAACCGAAACTTTTAAATTAACGGTATTCTGACAAGACGAAAATTCTATCAAAAACAAATCTCGAAAAATCAATGGCTGTTTTTGATCCTGATTTTTATTGCTTTCTCGATATTATTTTAGATTAGTGGAATATTTATTTAAATTATATTAAATTATAATTTAAATATTTTGTCATAAGAGGAATTTCTGTATATATTGTAAACTGCTTACTAACAAACATATTTAAAACATATCATATATGTTTGTCATTATTTTATACTAAATGTTTTAAGAATGATTAAGTTTAGATGTGTAAAAGATTTGATAATATAAAAAAATCTATGGACATCTTGTACACACGATTGAAAGAATGAAATACAATTTTTTTAATTACTTTGTGTGGAATTTTTATTTTCAACAACTAATATTTTTACACTTTGACGAGTATTTAATTTAATGGAGTTTCAGCTCTTTTCTTTTCGTATTATAGAACACGTATACGACGCGCGCCGTAATAGGATGTCGAGTTCGACACCGACACCGACACCAACACGACACCGACACCGGTCTGAAGTGAGTCTGAACGTAGGAATGTACCGCGACGCTATATTAATTTAATTAAATAATATTTCTATATGATAAATATATAAAAAAGTGTATTTTATAATAAACAACAATTGACAATACATGGACATGTACTTTAATTAACCCAATCATCATCATTAATCAACATTTTGTCAAAAAATAGAAATGCAACATATTTTTGGTTTTTATTATTTTTTAAGAGAAAATTAATGACTTCGCCGCGTATACGTGTTTAATTTATATAAATTGACAACGCAGAGTTAAAACTCCATCATTGCGTCCCGGGGTCGACGCACTCTTTTTTTAACTGTTGAACAATTTGTAGGATACGACCACTCATTATTATTTTTCGTGTGGTACAAATAATGCCCAAAACATAAAAAATATAATATTCACATTTTTCAAAATTTTGGCAATATGGTCAGATGACTTTCGAGGTTATAGGGTATTAACAAAAAAAAGATCTACATGCTCATCCCCTGATTGTCTTATAAAACTTATTTAATTTCTTTGAGATTCTAGAACCACATTAATATTATAACTTGCGTTACGTAACAGAAATTAATACGTTTATTTACTTTAAAATATATTAAAAAGCTTTTTATTGAAAAATAAATTCTAATGCCGCAAAAAATATTTCTTCAATGTTCTGAGAACACAGTAACTATGCACATATTAGTATGTTCATACCTGACAAAAAATCAGTGTCGTTATTTCTGACAAATATAAAATTAATTTTTATAGAAATTAAATGCTTTAAAAATACGTGCGATATTAATAGTAGTTCAAAGACAAGAAGTTACGATGCAAATAATCTCGCAGATTTTTATAAAAAAAATTGTATGTTACCATAATATGAACACTATGTATTTTAAAACTTGAACCTTAATTACTGAAACTATTGATATACAAGCCAACTTTTATATCTTCAACGATTGAACAGCTGATATGATTTCATAACGTAGATTTTTTTACAATAAAAGTATTAACTAACAAGACGAAAAAATTAAGTATAATTTTCCCCATTAAATCAGGCAGTGTCCGACATTTTCTCTAATAAAAGAAACAACATGCATCTAATTGCCCCACTGACCTGTTCTCGAATGATTTTCCTAACCCTTTCGACGTCACCCTGCTGAGAGGCGTACATGAGGGCCGAGACGCCTCGACTGGTGGCGGCGCGTCGGTGTTTGTTCTGTCGAGCCCCCGTCGCTGCTGCGGCGTCCGACGTCGCACTAGTCATTTTAAGGCGCCGGAACGCCAAACTCCAACTTCACCCCTCCAGTGCCGTCATCGCCGCCGTTTCGTACTGCTGACCACATGATGCACTAGAAAAACCAACCAGACACGATAAATTTCCACGAGGAGGAGGGGTTGTTCTTTGCATTTTCTAGCCTTGACATAGCTGCGGACCGTGGCTAAATTGCACGCGGGTCGATTAGCCTAGATTTAGACGGTGATTTTACGGTGGTGGATGGTTTTCTTTCAGTGGCTGGGGATGGGAAGGAAATGGCATGCGTAAACTTGACACTATTTATATTCTTGTTTTATCTTTTGGTAGATACGGTGGAAAAAATTAGATTACGTCCACGTAATTAGTTCTGTCTATATTCGGTAATTTCAATAAAACACATACAGTTTCTAGATTTTGTTAAAAACTGCGCATATGATCGTAATCGTAAACTGTGTCGAGTTTTTAATGTTAAATTACTTTCTGGGGTAACATTGAGAATAAATAATTCCTTTTGTACGATAACCTAAAATTGTAAAACCGATGCTTGACATCAGCGAATTACTAAGTGTGTACAGTGAAGTTATTTTTCACACAATTTTTTCATAATTTTTTTATCACGTGTTAAATTACATCACTTTGTTTACAAATTACAAGTTTTTAACAAGTGAATAAATCAGATTTTGTCAATTTTCTGGTTTTACAAAAGCTATGATTAAGTGTAATCTGCATATTTTACTCTGGATTCATTTAAAATTAATTTCACTACAGATGAAAAATAAAGCCGATTTTTGAAAGTTATCTTAGACTAAACACGTTTTGAAATGTTTTGCTCAGTGGCACATTGAAGTAAATAATGATTTAGAATTTTAATTTAATAATTAAATAATATAAATAAATAAATAAATAAATAAATAAATAAATAAATAAATAAATAAATAAATAAATAAATAAATAAATAAATAAATAAATAAATAAATAAATAAATAAATAAATAAATAAATAAATAAATAAATAAATAAATGAAATTAGGTTTCTTCTGTTCGATCACTTATGAATATGACATAACAGTATGCGGATACCAAACGCACCACTTTCCTGGTTCTTGAAGCACAATCCATTAAACAAAACTCCGATTCCTTAGACAAATTATAAAATTTGATTTCGTAAATTTAATTTTTCTTTTTAGTGGATTATTAATAAGCTACAAAAATGTGTATTTTGTGTATTTCAACAAAAATCGTGGTAATAAATTTTGTGAAGTTCTGAATTTTTCATTGGGGTACATATAAGTTTTTATACGTACAGGGTAACATAACAAACAATACTGTGTATCCCGAATTTAAAGAAAATTATGTATATTATTTATGTATTATACTTTTAAACATACCTACTGTATACTGCAAATGAGTTTGTCGCCTTAAAACAGGGGACTAAAATTATTGATACAGTCACAATCGAACAAAATGTTTTGAATATTATTATTATAATTTTTATTAAATAAAGTGAGGCGTATTCTCACGTTTCGAAAAAGTGGGGTAATTTCATTGAATAAAAATCGCTATGATAATATGATGTCATAAATATAGATCATACACAATGCGAGAGAAAAAGAGAAAAAAAAAAAAACGAAAAGCCAAGACTAAAATTTAACGCGCAATAATGTCCGGTCCGTATTTCTCATGCTCGACCACTAGGCCACAACCGGGATGCTTTCCACTAATGATAAACTACTATAATACCGTGCATTATGTTTTTGCAAACATTTGGACAATTAGGTAAAAGCTCAAAGCGGATTCGTAAACCACACAGTTATAGGAGTATATTTTTGTTTAACAGTTAAATCAAATAAACATAGCATTTTTTGAAATGACGTCATCAAATTGTTGGTGGAGATGATTAGTAAAATTTTGGTAAGTATCTAATCATCTACATGATACTTCTAATATATATATGTACAAAATTTGACAACAATCGGTCTAGCAATTTCAGAGATTACGTGTTTAATTAAAATGGATACAGACAGACAGACGGAAACGGGAGACTACTTTTTTCGTACTGTAGGGGTCATGAAACGTCGAAAAAGTAACCATAAAATTTGTGTTTTTTTTTTTCGAAAATTTGGATGTTTAGGGGAAAAACTCAAAGCCGACATATTTCTATGCCAAAAGGGCAGGAATATGTTATTGTATATTAACATTTAAATAATTTTAATGTAAAAATTTTTAAGATGAGATCATCAAATTGTTGGTGGTGATGATTAGCCAAATTTTGGTTAGCGTTTTACTATCTACACGATGTTCCTAGAATATATATAAGATTTCACGTAATTTCGGAGATTATCTGATGAAAATGGACATAGACAGATAGATGTCAGACAAACGAAAACGAAAGCCCTATTTTTTCGTACTTTCAGTCAGATACGTCGAGAAAACATGAAAGTAGCTAGTCGTCTGATAAACTTTAATACAATACTTCCTTAGCTGAAGCTCGGGAAGAAAACATTGTTAAAGAAATAAAAAAATCTCAATTCGAATATTGAACTAGCAAAAATCTTGTACGAAATGAAAAATGTTTCATTTCAAGGGCCACTTTTTTCAGCAGCATGAAAAAGCAATGAGTAACGCATTACTTTCCCTTGTAATTAAAAGAGTCGACTTGAAAAGAATGTGAATGAAATCTTAAAAATTTTTCATGGCATGTGAACAATTTTTGTCAGTTTGCCGTTGACCAGAATAAAAAAATTACGAATTTGTAAAATTTTAAGCAGTTGGTTTGATAGTATTAAAATATAAATTAGAAGTCAAAAATATTGTGAAAAATGTTGGCTCCTAATACTGCTGCAACACAAGATTTACAAAAAAACTTAAAAAAAAATAACGTAAGGAATATTTTTTGGCTACACACACATCCATTTCTTACTTTAATGAAATAATAACAAATTAAAAATTTAATAAAAAATATTTTAAAACGAACGACGGGATGGAAGATATTTATTGAAGTTTATTAGCGGTTAACAACAATGAATATTTAGACATATTTGAGAGTCTAGAAATATTTAAGAAAAAGGAATGTATAGGTATGCCAATTTTGTTCGAACAATTAATTTCTTGTCTCCTTCGTGGAGAGCAAGAAAGAAAGCAGATAAAATAGCATATAAATACAGGGTTTGGTGTTGTTTCAAATTTTCTATTATTGTTTTTATATTGTTTGCATCGTTACTATTTAAGTTTTTAGATCCAACTCATAAATTTTGTACAAAAATATATTTTTTTAAAAGTGTATATTATTTTGCCGTGTGATATACTTAGTAATCTCACATTTTTTTGTACAAAATGTGTTTTACAAAAATCACCAGCTTCCACCTACTTCTTCAACTTTTTGCAGAATTGGGGCAAGCTATGACGTCATAAGGCACAAATATTTTTACCTACTCTTCAAAAGGCATATAGCCTTTGAAAGTGGAATTTTCTACATTTAGGTTTACCAAAGTTTACCTTTTTAATAACAAACTAACAATAGTAGGCAAATGGCAAGTAGAACGTCCAAATTTTAATTTTACTACTTGTTTCAAATATTTTGACGTGTGCATCGAAATAAGCAGACAGATATATGCCTAAAAGTCTTATTAGAGTGTAAATACTATGAGAAGAACATTTTCATTACAACTCATCACTTAGGCTTTGACGAGTGGCGTATCATTGGCATTCCAAAATGGGGCATTCGAAAAAATACATGTCCGTAAATATTTTTCAGAGTAAATATAGGCTGGTTTAAAGACACGAATGAAAAACACGCATAAACTATGGAAAGACGCAGGGAAACACTCTGAGGAAGGACTCAAGGCCGCTGAAGTTACGACTACTTTACTCCCCCTAAATTCTCAAGTGGACCCTTCTGGATACATTTACGCCTACTCGGTCGTTTTATTGGTGTGTTTTTCTGAAAGTATTTCCACTTTAAAAGCTGAAATGTATTTTCTAAAATTTTGTCTGTTGTAATATCTCCATTAAAAATAAATATCAATAAGAGAATAACATGACGTCATCACACAATTTCAGAATTAATGGGTGTTAAAGTAGCTTAAATAAAACTAAATCGAATTTTTCTAGCGTTTTTGCCAAATTTAGATGTCCGATGTTGTTGTTGACTTTATTCCAGACTTTATAGACGCATGTAAATAAGTAATTAAGACAAGCTGACGATAAAGTATACGTGTATGTTGTTCCACCCACTCAAATTTATAACTAGAAAAAAAATGAATAACAAGCCAGTGATCTTCCTTTTGCATTCTACAATAGTGCTAAATTACCTTTTAATTATCAAACAAAACAGAAAGAAAAATATATAATCATCAGCCGAATCATTACCGGCAAACATGAAACACTGGAAACGAGTTTCATATTAATGACGTACACCGCCAATATTAATTTCATCAATTATGAGCAACCTAGTCATTTTATTATTTACGTCGTCACAATCCACCCCCTCATTTATGACCTCTTTAACGTCGTCCCCTTTTCACCATTTCTGATTTATTCCCGCCCTAAAACAACACCCAAACTTTTATTTTGACTAATTAAAAGTCGACACAACATTGCAATAACTCATAAAGCACAGACACGGCAGTCATGTACAACAACAGAAGAGAAAAGTCGAGCTTTTGAAAATGAACGCTTTCCGTGCAAAAGCTTCATGACATAAAGTAGGCGTCGATTATATGAAAGTGGAGACGACATAGCACGCGATCGTAAGCTGGAGGGATAAGAACAAGTGCAAGTACGACTTAAAAAGAATTTATTGAAGAAACTTTATTTTAAGAAGGGACGAAATTGTTTATGTATAGGCAACCAAATAAACACATTTACTACAGCTCTGCAAAGAAAAGTTGCTTTTATAATGTCGTATTCTTATGGTTGTGACGAACAGTTTATTGGTGACGCTGCGGTCGTTATTTTGAATTATGTGACATTTTCAAATCCACTGGGTTCTTATTTTGCTCATCTTTGTTTAGCGGTTGCCTGCACTTCGGATAAATTATTTCTATATACGGTAGATAATGGAAACAAATAGCGTTGTTTTCGCATTTTCCAATTCTGGATCGCTTCCAAACTGCCACCAGACACTTTAGCAGCAAAAGCTCTCACTTTAGCTTTATTACTTTGTGAACGAAACCGTTGCGTCTCCACTCTTCTATAATTTCTGCACGCGATGTAGTCGTTGTGTAAATGCATTTCAGGTGCAAAGTAAAAAAAGAGGTGACCTATATTTAGGTCAGGGATGTCTGGGTGCATAAATTACTAAAAACACCACGACTGTAATAAAAAATTATTCCCAAATTTCCACGTTTTTGTGAGTTGTGACATCCTGAAACCTTGGACTTTACATAATCTGGATCATTTGCATTGATATTATGTTTGGCACATTATAATTTTATTTGTTGTTGGAGACCTCAAATCATGTAGGTAGATGTGGCGATAGCATGAAATGTGAATATTGTTTTCAGAACAATTGCTGAAAGTTCTGTAAACACACTTATTAATGTTGTTACTGGTTCGTGTAGGGTTTTGTTTGTTTATTCCTATATTTGGATTCTTGATGTTAGAGATTTTGTGAATTGTAGTTTTCATCGTGACTATCAAGTTAATAGTAGAGCTTGAGCTCCGGAATACATCATATAATCGAAAAAACAATCATAACATCAATCATAATATCAATCAGAAAGAGATTCACATCGAATACATTTTCGATAAGAATAGATATTAAGGAGGTATACGGAAAAAAAACTAAAAAAAAATCGAAGTGTTATTTTCTGCACGTTTACGTACCTGGTATATAAAATTGACAGTATTTATTTTGTTCATTACTTAGTTTGACTGGCAATTATTATAATGGAAGAATTTAAAAAAGTGTGTTCAGTGGCATTTGCGATTACAATTTTTTTTGTTTTCAAAACAGTTTAGTCGTACCTCGTAAATAAAGGTGTCAACCAGTTTCACTTAAACTGTGTCAAGTTAAAGAATAAAAATCAATACATTTAATTATCACCTTATTAACAATTATAACCCACTTGAACCCATAACAAATTACACATTTCAACCCCCTCTCACAAAAAAATCATACCTGAAACGTCCTTCCACTCAGGAATCTTAATAAAATTTTTTTTCAATTCATACCTTGTGAAAATTTACATCGCCTGGCGTGGTGTTGGAAATGGGGTAACATAAACACGCACAACAACATGAAAACAACGTGAATTGTGAATAACTGACGGTGGTTGTATACTTCTGTAGGGGTTGTTATAGCAACCTCAAAGACTTTTGCGCATTTGCAAGCAGCATTTTTCGAAGTTGTTTTTTCGTGCATTGCAGATGCGTTTTATCAGATTGTTGCAAGTGTTTTTGTTATCAGTGGTTGTTAATCGGTGTATTTAAATAGGGGTATTACCTGGTTGCATAAATTTCGAGTCACTCGGCAGTTGTGTATAAGACGAGGTGGCCGAGTGGTTAAGGCGTTGGACTGCTAATCCAATGGGCTCTGCCCGCGTGGGTTCGAATCCCATCCTCGTCGGTTAATTTTTTTTTCGCAATGTTCAAACAATAAAAAAGATTAAACAAACAGTACCCTGATAATGCTAATACACAACATGAAAAATATGTTTTCTTTTTGTTATAAATTTCCTTTCAAATTAACTTAATAATTAAATAGCGGACGTTGTTACAAATAATTAAAAAAACTTTGTGTTCAAAAATAATTTTTTTTTTCCTATTACTTTAAAGATTTTCTTGTATTTTTTAAGTTATTTCAATGTAAATTTTATATAAAATTTTTACTGTTCATGACATTGCCGATAACATAGATTCCTTCATTATCATGATAATAAAATAAACAAACAAACGTCAAACTGATGTCACTGGGTGCATATTTTCATTCAAAAATGTAAACACATCGACTAATTCGTGCAGTTTTTTGACATAATTAAAATTCGAGCCTCCAAAGGTAAAAACTAATGAATTAACATCAGATTTATTTTGACATTTGAAACCTCCTTTTTCAAAAATCAATACTGGGACTTCAAAGTCACGTCATTCTTCCTTCCAGTTACTTCCTGAAAAATGACTTGACTGCATTAAATTATGGATGCAGCCGGTGTCACGGAGAACAAGGACATCCAGCAAAACAGTTACGTGACTGTCATTCCAGTTGAGTACCCGAGGAATCGTGGTTACAATACTCAGAATCCAGAGTATATGGTGGAACAGTACAGGTGACAAGTTGTGATATTTGTGGTAAATCATTGTTGACTTATTTGGTGGTAGATCTCATGATGACTACATTCAAACTGAAGATTTGTCTTCAAGTCAGGGGGCTTTGTATTCAGTGTCGCAAAGAGTTCCCACTGTGAGTGCTAGTTACTCAAGTTTGTGTGCTACAGATACTGGGTATGCCACTGAACAACCTACTTTTCCTGGGGTGCAGTCGGACTGGGAGAGAGAGCGTACTGTTTCAACAACGGATACTACAAAAGATGCCAGTTCTGATGTACTCAGTGATAAGCAGACAAATGGTGAGTATCATCAGTGTCACATATATTTTTTTGAAATTTTGTCCCAACTAATTAATGAACTACATTATAATTTTTTCAGTTTGCAGTTTTTTTTTTTGTTTGTTTTGAATGCAAGCAGTGGAATAACAGAAAAGTTGAATTCTAAAAATATTTTTTTTGCTTTTTTTGTTAAATTTCATAACAAGAATAACTAATTAAAAGAAATTCTGTATTGAAATTAAACATCAACATTTGCTCTTACTTTTTAAAGGATTTAGTTGTTGAAGTTTATGCACGCTCACATTACATAGTTCTAATTGGTAGAGTAGAAATACTTTGAGAAGAATCCACCAATAAAACGTTTTTGTATATTTTCCAATCTACTTCGCTTATCCTTTGATTAGATTCACAACTTGTTTTAACAATTTCGTGGACAAAAAAAATGAAACATCGTAATTTACAATACTTGATGTAAAACGGGTTGCCTACTTTCAAATAAAAGGATAGTATAGATATCAATCAGTAAAGACAACTCGCTATTTTTACTGACCCGTTTTCATGGGTGGTCGTTTGTCTTGTGATTGTATGAGGGCGCGCAACGCAATGTACTTCTCTTTCTTACACATTGGGACATTGAACTGCGATACTTTGGTTATTTAGTGACTTTAATGTGAAATATTTGAAATTTGGCAGTTTCGTTGCATTGGTTTTCATGATTTAAGGCTGATCTTCCGGTGTAATTATTGCAGTTAAGTGTAATTTTCACAGAGACATTTTAAAAAGCGTTGTTCACGTTTTCGTAGGATCATTGTTTACTGTTTAATTTTTTTGTAAAAAAATTAAATGTACATGTATTAGCGTTTTCTAATAACGTTGAATTTTACAACCATTTACAGCCATCATGAAAAAGACATTAATTTAACGTAAAATCGTAATCAGAGAAGCGGGCCACATCTAAATTTCAACACGGCATCCCTGTTATAGGGCGCTTAATTAATTATTTATTATAATAGACTGTGTGGTTTCTAAAATCAACTAGTTACAAAATGTTATTGTTATTGCACTATTTTTAAGTCTTTTCATTTGCACAAAGTGTAGTAGATTGTGTACACGAATCAATTTTAAAATGAAACGTTTGTGATCCTTTTTAAATTGGGTGGCGACACCTAGAAATATTTTGGGCAACGACCACCGATGACGGCTTAAAATTCGGGTCAGAAAGATCAAAGGCGCCGACACGAGTTGTCCATACTGATTGATGTCTATACTGTGATAAAAGTCTTAAAACATGAATAAGCACATGTATGTATATTCTGGCTTATTTGGAATGATATATAAAATCGATTAAACTATTTACGGAAATAAAAAAGTACTTTCATACTCTTTGGGTGTTATCTCTGCTGCTGCTACTACGATCAGCCAAATAGCCTGAAACTTTCCATGTGTACTAATGTTTAGAATGAATTACTTTGCTACATCAAGGGGAGACTAATTTGACTCTTCGTTAGTAACATTAAATAATAATAGTAATAATACTAATAAGCAACGAAAAAGCAGAAAGGAAAAAGGGTTAACTGGTTAACATTGCTGCACTTTTTAGTTTTGGCAATACAAATAATTCCAGTACAATTTTACAAACGCAATTTGTTGTCTTTCACAAGAATACTAAGATAATCAAGAGATACAAAGAAATGTCTGTTTAAAGCACGATTCGCCAGTGATTTGCGTACCCACTCGAACTATGAAATTTTCAGTGGGTAGTTTGACAAGGGTAGGAAATGCAATTTTACATTGTCTAAATACGTCACACCCTTTTCAGCATATTCTCCCGTTCTTGCCGCTCGTTGTTTAAAACCACCGTAGTTGAAATTGGGGTTAGTTCTTAGGTGACGTCATTGATATGAACTGACATTTGCGTTTAAATGGCGGCTTCAGATAAAAAAAATGAGAGTGGCTATTGTCGCTAAAAGTTCATTCTAAATCTGTGTAGACAATTTGACGATTTTTTTTTTTTTTCTAAACTATTAACAGTAGTATGTAATACTTTCGTAAATTCTTTAATTATATTTCATTATCATTTCTCAGTTACTTTATAAGATGGAATAAAATTTATAAAACAGTAGATACTGTACTGCTAGACTGCTACCGGTTTATCCTAGAATGTAATCTTCTTTTTGTTCCGTCGTGTATAATATGTTTTTAGATCTTTCAGTGATATAATATAGTATTTAATAGTTACTTAAAGAACGAGGTGATCAAAGAAGGTTAATAACAAAGTCTTGCATTTTTGTTTCTCTTCGTTTATCGTTGCATTTTCGGTCATTGTAATCGCCGCATGATAGTGGACTTGCAGTGATAGTGAGGAATGGGAGAACTTTTCGAGCGCTTCGACTAATTTTGCATGGCTCCGGTTATTGACAATCGGGGCTTTTCACACGAGCGAGCGAAGCGAGCGATTGGAATTTAAAAAAAAACGCCAAGATTCTAATTAACCATTAGCCACCAGGTTTAAATCTTGGTTCTCCTGGAAATGTGTCACTAATTTTTGTGCCGCAAAACTAGTCCAAGGTTTGGTGTTGCATTGTGGGAATGTAAGCGAATTTTTTCAGCGATCTTCAGTTTATTTTTACGTAGTTTTCAATATAGCATTCTGCGCCAGCTGTCGACTTCCAGCCGTTATGTCGCTTAATTTCTGCGTAAACGCACCAGCATCAGGTGATATTAGAACAGAAGACCGCCGAAAACAATGTCCAGTATACCAACTTGGTTGCTCCAATTTTAAAAGATTGCTATTTGGCAAGACGATTTCGAAAATATGTTGATTCTAATTGGTTATGTTTTTGTAGAAAACGAAAACCGATTAGGTGGCGTATCAATATATTTTTTGCATATTTGTTTCAGATGACTTAATATTCAGAATGAATTTTTAACATCTGTTTTTTCGAGTTTGAAAAGTTGGTTTTCTTAATCCCCCAGCCATTCCAGAAATTAGTGCGACCATCATTACTTTAGTGTCAGATATGAATTTTCAGAAATGCTCTTTCTCTAGTACTTTAAATTTTTTGAGGAGTGTGGCTCATTTTTTCTCGTCAGAAACATTTAATTTATGAAACTTCTTGATGTAATTTTTTTTTCAAACTAAAGGTTGATTTTAGCATTGAATATTTTGGCCATAAGATGGTTATTAAACCATTTTCTGCAACTTCAGAAAAATTAGCCAACATGACTTTTTCTGGCAGTAAACTGGGGGATGCAATTTTTGCACTTTCCAATGTTTCCTAGTTTATTAAAAAAAAAAAAATGAATTTTTGACGTGACTGTTAAATTAGTCGCCTTGATTGATGTAGGACTAAGCGTCATCTTTAAAGTGTATGTCTAGTTGCATATACTCGAGCATATATTTTTACTTTATTTCAATATTAATGAACTACTTATGTTAGATAAACGATAAAATGTTTTTTCCAATTTCTACTAATAAAATGCTCATTTTGTATGTTAAATCTCGCTATTAAAACAATAGTTTAATTGAAAGGAAGAATAAAATGTTCATAGCAACATTTTATTCGCACTGAATAAACACGACACGAATAAATTAAAAATTCGCACTACCACTGAAATTTTCGTTGCTATGAATGTGTAAACATATTCAACTAAAATTTACAACGTTTGATGGTCCACCTCCTGTAAAACAATCCTAATGAAAGGCCAGGAGCATCGTTTGAATTTGACCGTGGAGAAAGTACAGGCAGCTTAGGCAATTTACCTTCTTCAAATGTTCATCATACTAGTAATAGTACAATTAATATTTATGTATATGGATTACCTAAACAACAAATTTTTTGAAAAATTTTGCGAAAATGGAAAAAATCTTGTATGATACACGTGAATAAACGAATTTTATTCACTTATACCATAAATACCTATTATTACACTTTTTTACGTAAATCCATTAAAACGCATGCATTTTGATAAAAAAATTTATTACAAGAGCCGTATACAAAAATGTATTATTTATAAAATATGTGAAACATTTGCTAATATTACAGTATACTCAGTATACATTTAAAGCTTTTACGTAGTATTCGATATGTAACTATAGTTAAAAACAAAGTGCTTATGAATTGAATAGATATATTGATATAAAAATACAACTATTAGAGAATCGGCAGATTAGGTCACACAGATATTTTTAAAAATTTCCGTTGCAGCCATAAAAGTTCTAACCTGATTTGAATTTTGTGTCGCAACTAATTTTGTTAAAAAAATGAAAATTATAACACACTCAAGTTTACCTTCACCCTCGCTTGTACGTAACTGATCAGTCATTAGATTCAAACATTCATTAGTACGTTCGACAGAACACAGCCGATTGCAGCACTAAAACTAATCGAACACCTGTTGGTTGATTTTAAATCTGGTATTTAAAATATTTATACAAATAAAAAACAAACAGTAGTGTGTAGATTCCAGTATCAAGACTATGTCATTCAGATTAGAACGAGTAATTGAAAGAGAGAGAGAGAGAAAGAAATTATATTTCTCAAAACGATAACTTTACCAGTAACGATCATATAGACATTTTGGCATTTTGTGGTTGTAGTAATTATTTCTACGACATATCACAGCTTAAATACTGAAGAATAATAAAAAATACTTTCGTTTCTATTGCGAAAAAGTAATCTCCACTTCCTCTTTGACGGGAGCTATTTTGTCAACGTTTTTACTATTTCCTGTCGTCGAAGTACTTTTCGAATTAGGATTAGAATTCGAAACGTTAACGGAATTGTTCTTCCTCCGCGTTCTCATAATCACCGTACTAACCCTCTTTTGCACGTAAGTTCTGAAACCCTTATGCCACCACGCATAAATGATCGGATTTATCAAACTGTTAGTGAAACCCAAAATCGCCAACGGACTCGCGATGATAATCCGGAGATTCTTACATTTTTTAGTGTCGATATTTTCGCACTGATAAATGTAGACGATAGACGCTATGAAAAACGGGAACCAAGTCACGATGAAGCTCCCCGTCGTAAACAACACCACTTTAATAGCTTTCCATTTGTTGGGCGACTTGACGCTTGCAGAGGGTTTCTTCTTGAAGATTTTCGAGAAGAAGCTCTTTTCGGTTGTTTCGTTTGAGTTTTCTTCGTTTGGGATGTCGACAGATGGCCCTCTTCCTCGAAACATTCGCAGGTTTTTTGTGCCGGATTCTGTGTTCTGGTTGCCGGAATTTTTCAGTTGGATGATTTTTTGGATAGCATGGTATAAAATTATGGAGTAGAGTATCGACACTGTGATAATTGGAATTATGCCGACTAGGACTGTGAGAAGTATAAGGCCTCTGGGTGCCAGCAGGATAAACCAGCAAATTCTTCCGTTGTCGGTATCGCCGTACCATCCGAACAGTGGTATGAATCCGATAACACACCCTTAAAATTAATGATTATGGTGTATTGTGAGTCAGACTGTGCTTTCCGTTGAAGTTGGAAGTGATAGATAAATTAGCAGATTTTGGTGCTGCATCCGGTGGTAAAATTTTATCTTTGTGTCAACTGCGAATTTCAGAAATCAAACACATTTAGATATTCGTTTTTGTTCTCATTTTTTTTTTTTTTTCATTTTGGAGGTTAAGCAGTTCAGACAGAATTTAAAAAAAAACATTTGTATTTCAATTCTTTAAGATCATGTCAGGAATTTTTAGTGGGAGTAATTTTTTATGTATACAATGTATACACTGCTTACAATATTATTTTGTTTATTTCCAGAATGTCATATTCATTCCGTTCATTTTAAAATAATTTTAAGGCGCACTTAAAAATAGACGCACTTAGAATTTTTTTTAACACATGGAAATAGAAAATTAGCTTATGAAAAATATTTAAATATTTATTTTCCGTGTTTAGAAATATAATGTGCCGCGCACTCTAAAAACAATTGTACACTTTTAGTACTGCGTGTTGAGAAACCTCATGCACTATAAATGAAACGTAATTTCAAAGCTTGATCCAATATCAAACATGTGTTGTTAGTCACAGTGATTACTGATATACCATTAGTAAGTATACAACATGGTTCATTAACAAATGATCGAAAGTTGTCAGTTTTTGTTAATCGTAACTACTTTTGTTGGTTTTTGTTAACAGAGATGATCAATTCTGAATAAAAACAGACAAAAGTGATATGTGTTGTGCTGATTTTATATTACTTTGTACATATTTTAATAATAGGATTTTATTCCACAAACGTCATTGCGCCTTAGTGTCAGCTCAAATCAAATAGTCGATCTTACCTTCTGTATTTTCTAAAATTTCGTGTTGCTTTAAATTAACAGAGATATTTTGAAAATTAGAAACCGTTAGATCTTTTTGTGAAGATATTTTGACACGGATGGGCATATTTTTATAAATTTGTTATTAATGTTAGTAAATTTAAGCCATTTATCTCTTACTGTTTCCGATATTACAGAAGGAAGCAGTGAAAAACGGATGTTGATACTAAAAATTTCAATTATATCTATTTTTGCTACACTCACTGATTTTCAAATCGTCAGGAAATATAAATATAAAAAAATGTCGTACTTTCCCAGAAATAATATAAAATAATATGATTTTTCTGTAATTTTGGTTATCTGTCAACACAGATAACGACCTCGTGCAACACCAAAAAATCCACTTATTTATCCATTATTTAGCGCCTCGCCAAGTTTCCACTAATTCTATTAAGAATTGAGGCGCTGCTTGGAACTGGCTCCAGCTTAATTCATTTTATATTAGATCGTGCCACTCACCTATGACCCACGTTCCTGCGATTAATAATCTAGCTCTCATAGGGTAAACCCATTGCTGGTACTGCAGACCGTGTAGAATATACAAAAATCGATCTATCGCTATTAGCCCTACCGAATACACGGAAGTTAGAGTGCTCGACACTATCATACCTACAAATTTAATATAAATTAGATAACGCTTGTTGACAGAACGTCTCGAGTTAATACCCAGCTGGAGAGCGCAAATATTATGGTCCCGGTGCTCCCGCGGGTACAACTGTCCGAAGACGACGGCAACTCCCGTCAACAAATCCGTCATTGCCACATTGCCCAAAAATAAATACGTCGATCGCGGCTGCTGCCCTGAAAGATAGATTTAAAAATAAACAGATATTTTAAAATGGAAGGCCTCACCTTTTTTCAATATCAGTCCGCTGGAAATGACCACGAGCAAGTTCAGGAGAATTATCACGCCTCCGATTGATGGTATTAGCACGTCGTACAAGGTTAATTGGGCCTTCACCGAGGTGCTATTGTCGTCTAGAGAAAGGTTCGACTTGAGCAGGACGCTCATTTCGGTGGTGTCGGCAATGAGTTTGAAGAGCTGTGTCGTGGGTACTGAATCATTTATTTCGTTGGACATCTGAAATGAAATGGGAGTGTTGTTGATACGTGATAAGAAAGGCGGAAAGCTTTGTCATAAGTTAAACAGTTTTTGTATCCGTAAATGTGTCTATTGATTTCGAATTTTATTTCGTTTAGAGTTAGGGAGTATTTAGTGGAAGTTTAGGTTTGCGGTAATGTCGGTGGCTTAATCGGAACCCACTGAGTGCACTTAAATGACACCTGGATGATATTGATTGCTAACTAGGCATGAAATGCCGTGCAACAGAAAAAAACAAGGACGCTTTTTTGATATCTGGCGAATACTTGTTGGAAAATCATTGCATTATTAAAAGAAAACAAAACTGATTCGTTAATATAATGTAAACTAAACGAGAGTTTGATTACTTTCAAAGAGATATGGCGTAATAATTTTATGATAATCGCTTTTTTATGTTCTAAAGAAGATCGAAATTTTTCCAATAGTGTGAACATGTTGATTAATTTGTAATTTAGTAATTAGTGAAAAAAGTATCATCAATTATGTTAATCGAAAAAGTTCATGTGTAACAAATTTTATACAAATTTTCATAAATATTATATCACTAGATATTTGACGTTTTTCCTTTCCGAACCCAGGTAAAGGAAATATAAAAAGGTCCATTTGACGTGTGGCTAATTTTTGTTTTCTCGACGTTTCATAGCCTTCTATAGAGTATAAAAAAAGTGAGCCTTCTGTGTCTATTAACAATTTGATTATTGTTTAAGAATAACTATATAGCATTTAAATAGTAAAATGTCAACTAACATTTGTCTTACCATTCCCACAAAAATTTTTCAGGATACCACCTTAAAATTTTGCTAAGTAAATCCTACTTAAATTTTATAGAAGACTTTCATTATTGTTCGATATCTAGTAGGTTATGGATTTTTAAAATCAGTTGGTACTTCCTAGGCATCTGCGCATTGCAAATTCTAATACGTCAGTTACCGCAGTAGACTTAGTTCATTTTGCAATATATTATAATAATATATTACCCTGTCAAATTTAGCATAATGTTGGAATGCGTATGCGTCATTCGTTCAGGATTTTTTATCTTGATGTTTATATCACTGAAAATATTTGGCACGTTGTCAGTTTTTGAAAACGTCAAATTTTCAGATCGTGCTTGGCAGAAAAAAGAGAAAATTATTAAGACAAAATCACTTCAGTGGTTGACATGACTACTGAATCGACTTTTGTTGGTTACTTACAAGGCAGTTACTATAACTAGTAACTAAAAGGTACTATAACTTTTAGCAACCTTGGGTTACGTACACAGGAGAAGAAAGAGGAGTCAGTCATATTTCCAAAAAATATCATTGTGTGACCTTGAAAGAATTAATGTAACGTGAATCAAGCAATGCGCGAATTTGGCATCAAACGTCAAATTTCAAACTGAACTAAACAACCATTCTGTCAGTAGTGCAAACTTACAAACAAAATTAATGACCTGATTTATTAATCTACCTCTGGTTTTGACATAACGCATATAGGTTACAAAAAAAATTAAAACAAAATTTTATAAAATTGTTTATGGATCGGATATCTCTAAGTGGAGGTTTCCCTTTAGTAAAACACTAAATTCGAAATATAGAGTTCAACCTTAAACCTCTCAAACTTTGTACATGCTTTAAGTATGTCAAACTGCTGATCAAAATTCATGTACTCATCGTTTGCAAAGACTTGATGATGTTTTTTCAAAATTATGTTCAATAAATCTCGCTAAAAGTGTATAGACACATGCTTCCTAAGAAGGTATCTATATTTTAATCTCGTAGTGTAATAAGTTATCTTAAAAAAAATATGAATCAGATTTTACAGTTTGTTTTAGAATCTAGTTTAATATTTTCTGTCATTACCCAAGACAAAAGATTAACTCAACCTTTTTTTTTATGAATTTTTGCTTCCCTTGCTTCTCTAACACAGTCAGTTACTCATAATATTTTAACATGAAGTCGTTAATATTTTAGTCCTTATAAAAGCACAAGGAGTTTCAAAATGATTTTCATCTAGCCGCCTGTGGCTGCAGATTTTCATCAAGTGAAAGATAGGAGTTGAAGCGATTTCAAAGCTAACTAGTTGAAAATTATTTTGAAACACCATTTATATTAGTTATAATACTTTACAAAATAAAAAAAATGGTCTAGAGTTATTTAGGCAGAACTTCCCCCGCTCCTCAAGTACTTCCGAAAAATAACTATGACTTTAAATAGAGATATTTGAGAACTGTTAAAGTATAGGTAAAGAAGTATGCTGTGCAGTGGTGTAAATAACACCCCGCGGCCCCTGTAGCACGGAGGGCGAAGTCCGTACAGACACCGCAATGTCAAATATATTTAAAGCAAATGATCATCTGGAAAAAATATAAGTACATGCTTAACTTTGATCGAGCATGTTCATATATCGAAAGAATGCGACGATTAAGCACGTAATATAGTAAGTTGTCTCCTCAAAAAAAAGAGAAGTCGACTAAACTTATTATTTAAGCTGCATTGGAGCAGAATGTCCTCAATATTATTTTCAGTAAATATCTGTTATGAATTTATGATAATTCTTATTTAAAATGTTTTGTCGCTGATAACACCAATTTTGAACGTATTCACTTTTTACTTTTCAAGCATAAGTTACGGAAGTATTGTAATAAGGTCCATTCGGTGAATTGATAGTTTCATAGTTTTTACACGTTTCAAAACACCTAGAATACAAAACGATAGGTCTCCGACTTCCGCCTGCTTATCGTTTACGTCTGTTTTTGTCGATTTTTATTAAACATAATCTCTCAAACTACTGGATCGATTGTTGTCAAATTTTATGTGTATTTTAGGAATACTTTGTAGTTGATAAACCGCTAACAAAAATTTGTCTAATCATTCCCACCAACAATGTCATGACGTCACCTCAAAATGATGCATAATAAATGTAATCTATGCACCAATCCGAAATGATGCATGTATGTGCCCATGCTAAAATGTTGATGACGACATCACAATATTTGGAAATGAAACAACTCACTTGAAACATAGACATAGCATGCTTGTTTACCTTTACTTTCACGTTACACGTGTATCTTCATTTTTACTTATGGGAGTTATAATTAAAAAAAATGTTAAAATCAAATTTTATGATGTTTCGAAAAAGTTCGACTAGACTTCAGGAAAGTTCTGTCTAAATAACCTTAGATCAACTTTTTTGGTTACATATTGTTCTACATTTAACTTGATGTTGACAGTTTCATTTGTAAGTTCCATTTGTTTTTCTTTTTTTTTTAAGAAACACCGTATATATCGAATTATCGAATATCTAGCTTTCATTCAGTATAAAGCATGAGCACGTGCGTTTTTATAACCGTTTTAGTTTGAAATGTGTAATGAACTTTTGATAACACTGTTATAATAATTATAATGTAATAATAATAAATATGATGATCGGATTTTCAAAATATGTATTGTTTTCTCACTTTTTACTTTTGGTGGCAGGGAAGTCTGTATAATAAGGTCCATTTGACGATTAAATAATTTAAAATTTTCTTGACCTTTTTATGTCGTGTACAATACGAAATTGTCTTCTGTTTCCGTCGGTAGATCGTCTCTGTCTGTCTGTCTTTCTATATGTCGTCTGTTGGCAGTTTTATTAGACACGTAATCTCCAAAATTAAAAATTTAATTTTTATAATACATATATAGAATTTATTTTATTTTGAATACCTACATTTTTGGAGAAAAATTCAAAATTGTACAGAAAATTTTAGAAATTTGATTTGAGCTGCTATGAAGGTTTGCAAATGTTTTAGGCTTATCGTGTGGTAAATTGCTAATCAAAATGTGTCTGTTTATTTTCTTCCAAAAGCATGATGTCATATCAAAATGTTATAAATAAATCCTGTTTAAAATGTGTTTATCAATGCACTCATACATAGAGGCGTATGCCGTTCGTGCAGATTTTTACAAAAAATCAGAATTGTACAACAGAATTTTGACGAACTCAGCTAAAAACTTTTGCTTGTGTGATTCACCAATTTTTTTTTATATAAATCCCACCTCAGAGCAGAGAGAAAAATCCTGACATGCATCGGTCACGTTTTTGTGGCAACTGTGTGTATGTCCCGTTCCCCTGTAATTGGGCCTCAGTGCCTGTTGGGGGACATAATTAAAAAAAAAAAAAAACTTCTTTACATCAATTTTTTGCATAAAAAAGTGTGTATTTTGTTACTTCTCAGATTTATGTGAAACCAATCTGCATTTGATGCCTTAATAGTCTTATACTTTTTATAAAGCTTATAAAAATACATAATAAAAGCCCAACTAATTGAAATTAGTCCTTTCCTTCATTATTTTTGCATATAGTATATTAATAGTATTAGATCTCACTAATATTTATATTCCGTAACAAATATTAATTTAATAATTTTTTGAGATTATGTCACCAACACTTTTAAGGAGATAACTAAATAAAATGTTTCATAATCACTGAAACGATGTTAATTAGTATAGAACGAACAAATTTTAATCAACTCCAGTTTTATAAATTAATTATTGTAAAATTCAATTCGTTATTATTTTTATAATAAATTGATAACCTCTAAGTAATAAAATAAAAATTAGAGTGAATTATGAAGCCATAGGTGAAGCAGCATTCGTTTGTTGCATGTTTCAGTGAAGATTGTCTTAATACATTTTTGTAATGACGTCATCAAGTTTTTACTGTGGATAAACTAACAATTTTTGGTGTTGGACAGTGGACACTTACCAAAATTTATTGCTCCATGTTTTTTTAATGACGCAAATTATGATTAAAAACAGCATTTGATCTCGATTTTCGAGGGGTAGGTATGAAACAACTATTGTCACTATAGTCGGATTACATTGCGGTACAATAAACCTACAATATTTTCAAAGACAAATTTAGAACAACCGACAAAGTGCGTTGCCAACTGGATTATAATAAGCTTTTATAAAGCTTAACTTTGATTTCATACGGTTTTTCAAGTTATTATTGGAAAAAGTAATGTGTGTCTCCGGCGAATTTAACATTCGGCTAAATATCTTGGGTACTAACTTGTTCCTGGCGAGTAAAATCTAACATGATTCACTTGTACTTTTAACACTATTTGTCTTAGGATTAATTAAGGTGTATCGCATAGGACTGCATCTCGAACTCACTGGAATAATTTATCACTTTAATGTTTTGAATCAAAATGCAATACTTTTTTTATAAAAATTCAATGAAACATTTCTATTACGAATTTAGTATCTAATTACAAACGTCAACTTACCGGAGTAAATCAAGTATATTGCAGGGAAATACAAAATGTTGTGTTTTTCAAAAAATTGCCATAAATATATTTATTAAAAAAAAAACTGGGACTTACGTTGTGATTGCTTTTTACACTTGAAGGTAAACCCAATGTACAAAACCACTAACCACTAAATAAACAGAGCAACGACTTGTTTCTTCGACCAAATGTGTCGATCTCATGGGAGTCATGAGACTAGTTTTATATAAAATGATCGGTCCGGAAGCTTCCTTCCTGCTGAAACGTTCGGTTCTCTTATCAGTTTCGATAATTCCCGGGCTTCCCTCTTTACCATCAGAAACTGTCAGATGCATATTACATCAAAGTCCTTGATTCGTGCAGCCTTGAACTTTACTGAATTTTCATGTAGAAGTTAATAATGAATAAAACATGGTATTAATACATTATGCTTTTATGGTTTTTCGTGAAGTTGCAGTGCAGACATGGTAATTGAGGAACTGCCATGCCACCTTACGTGCTACGTAGATTAGACACTTCCTAATGTTTTTAAATGGCTGTTAAAGGAGAAAAAAAGAGGTTTTTGTTAGTGGCTGCTTAATTCACTACATGCCGTTATTAATTGTAATTAATTTTTTTATATAGTCTGTCGACGGCATAAATTTTATCTCCGATAAGAGTTTATTGTCATTTACACTGAACTTACCAACAATTAATTTCTGCGAAGTGCGTGTGTCTTGCAAGAGAAACAGGATTGGACTAATGTACATTGATTATAATTAAAAACAGGGAGAGGATATTTTCTAAAAATAAGATAACTAGAATAACTATTGTGTGAAACTTACAAACAACAGTAAATTCTTTCATTCACTTTATTCTCCGATCAAGTACAAAGTTGGTGCACATTTTACCTCCAAATTTTTCGATTTCGTAATTCCAAAAAAACACTCACTTTCAGGTGGATGTAAAACTTTATTGTGTTTACTGACACAAGAATCACTGAATCGTGTTCGTAAAACTTTAAATAGTCTCTTTAATGATTCAGACCGAAAACAAATATTTATGGACTCATCGACATTGATGTGTCTGTAAAACGTGCTGGTGTGCACTGTGCATCCGTTTTCATTGATTCGGAATCAAATACTAAAATGATCGATACACTATTCACATTGAGGCAATTTTCACATTTCGTATAATGTTCTGATGAATATATTACTTAATTTTATCGATTCGGTGGCAGTTTCGAAGTTTAACTCACTAGAAGTAGGTTATCTTGTTATTTTTTCATTAGTGGTTTTCGGGGGGAAGTCTTTTCAAGATAATTACATGTATTAGTTTGATGCCACGGTTTGATGGTTATACTTAAAGTTTTGTGTGTTTTACGTGGTACATAAATTTTTGTAGTTATCCGCAAGATACGTGGAACTACGTAAGTGATATACCTAGTTTTTAGTGCGGCTTGAGTATGAATCCCAGGGAATTAGTAATAATCTTGCTGGAGCATGAATCATCGTTTAATTTTTACTTCCCGAGCGTACGCTAGTTTTATTCATGATTTGTCTCAAAATTCACTGGGAAATAAAGTAGAGAAACGGTAGATACTTTCGGAGATTACAATTGTTAACCAAAAATTAGAAACTAGAGCGTGTTCCTAAAAATTACTAGAAATTTTGAAATTAGAAGTTCCTGTGTTACAAAAAAAAAATGCTGTAAACACGTGAAGATCACAATCCAAACTTAAAAAATGACAGTTTTTTAAAGAAACAACTTACATATTTCTGCTGGACATTTTAAAAATATGTTTTTTCAACTTTAATTTCATTGGTAATAGAATTGACATTGTAGATTTACTATAGGGAACTGCTATTTTAATATGAATTTTCCCAAACTTGTTTTTCCGACCACCTGTTTAGAGCATTTTCCATTATATTAATATAAAGAATTATCAATAATCTCTATCGAGGTTTCTACAAACTAGCACTATTTAATAATCGGTAATAGTTGGGATGACCTCTTTCGTTGTTAATTATAGCAAACACCTGAATGTTTGCTATTGATTCTCGATTACTCACTACTACGTTTTTGGCAGCATACATTAAAATTATTTTCAACTATACAGAATGTTCCGTTATAGAAGCGCAACATAAATCTTGCTCATTTTAACACCTTATATATTTTTCCATGCCTTGATCAGCCCCTTTTTAGTTTTACAAGTACTTTTTATTTTTTAAAATAGGAGACAACGTTGTTCTAGTTTTCTTCAGATTTATTAAAAACACAAACATTCAGCATTTTCGTGCTACCATCTACATGATATTCCTAATATAAATACAAAATTTGATACAGTACTTTCGGAGATTATCTGTCTAATAAAAATCCGGGCACAGACGACAGACAGACGGACAGACAGAAAGACAGAGAGACAGACGGACAGACAGACAGACAGACAGACAGACGGACGGAAACGGGAGACATTTTTCTTCGTACTCTAGGGGTCATGAAAGGACGAGAAAACGTAAAAGCAGAAAGTCGGTCGACGGACTCGATTACTTAAACTGTTTTTATTGTCTGTTTTGACATCTTTGTATTTGTCTCAAGAAAGTGAAAAATTTCAGAAAATTGCAACTTTAAAAAATATACAATAGTCCGGTCAAATTAGACATTCGGTGCTACATAAATTCGCAACAAGCTGAATTTTGGTACAATTGTTCAAAATACAATTATAAACAAAACCTGAAAGTTCCCCATCATTCCCGTGTATGGAAAAAATTTTATTCAAGGTCAAATGTCAAAAAAATGAGTTTTTCGCGATTTTCAGCAAAACGGTAAGTTTTATCATAAAAATACCTCAGACTAAAATTATAGACCATAAAATTATCTATAAAAAATGTATTTATACTTTTTTCCTACGAGCCACCGTTTCCGAGATATAGCGGTGCAAAAAGTTGTAACAGTTGTAATCGTCATAACATGCATGAGTACGCCACGTATATTCATCTCTAGAGTTGTAATACGAGCCCTAACAACTAAATATTGGGACACAAACAAATTCTCAAAAAAATCCGGTACATATTTTTGATATCACTCAATTCGTTTGGACTAAATGCAAATTTTGCATGGGCATCTATTTTGGCAGAGAGTGAGGTATTTTGCAAATTAATAAATTTTCTTAGAGCGCAAAAATTGTCACCTAAATAAAAAATGTGCCATTTTTGCTGACATTTAAATGTTGGGACACCCGAGAAAATTTGCCAAGTATACCATCGAAATACAAACGTAGTAGCTGGTAAATACTGCCATTATTATAGGGATTGTAGCATTTCATACTAGTGTTGGTTTCACTTAGAAGAAAATAGTTAGTGGTGGGCTAGTTTTAGTAAAATTTCTGAAAATAATAATTTCGCAGTACTGCATGGGAAAATCGATAAGAAAAAGTGAAGATTTGTTCTAAATAGCTTAGTCGTCGATGGTAAACATCGTAAAATATTACGCAGACAGAGGTACCATAGGAATAAAAGGTAAAATTCCCGGTAGGCCACCACTTGTGAAGCCCCGTGATCAACGACAACTGATGAAAATTTATAAAAGTGGACGACGGAGTACTTTAAGAGAAATTACTACTTGCTGGAATAGCGATAACCAACTAAATGTTTCAAGACAATATTGTCGCGAATGGATACACAAATCAGGCCTTGGTTTTTACATTGTAAATCTTAAATAAAGCTATCTTTGATTGACTTTATTATTTATTTATATTATGTTAGGCTAAAGTAAAACCACAATTAAAAACTGCCCATAAGAAAAATTGGTTAATATGACCAAAATAAAAATTGTAGAAAAGTAGTATATGACGCTGAGTCCAAATTTGATGTATGGGTGAGATAATAGTCGAAAAAGAGTTATTGAAATAAAAAAAGAATTTTAAAATGGATTATCCTAAACAATCAGTCAAGTCTGCAAGCGGAAAAATGGTTTGGGGGTGCATGTCTATTAATGCAATTTAAAAACCAGTTAACAACGTTCATGGAAGGGAAATTACAAATTCAAACAAATGTCAAGAGACTTTGTAAAAAAATATTAACAACTACTGAAGCAGTCTATCCTGTTGATATTTATATTTTTCAACAGGATGATGCTTCAAGTTACACACCTACAACACTTATTACAAAGAATAATAATATAAATGTTTACCCTGACCATCGAATTGCCCAGATCCTAATCTAGTAGAAACGGTATGGCGTGAAATAAAAAAATATTTAGGAAATCATCCATAACAAGCGATTGTCAATCTTCAACAGGAAATTTAGCGAGTGTAGGATACGGTAACAACTCCTGTGTATTACAGAAAATTAGTTGAAAGTATGATGGCAAGAATTCCTGCAGTTATTAAGGCAAAAGGAGATATGACCAGTTACTGAATTTGCTGTGTCCCAATATTTATGTGTCACAAAATGTTACGTTGTTTTAGAGTTTTATGTCACTGTTTGAGTTAGAAATCAGTTTTTGTTGTGCTGTAAACATTAACAGTTTTGCAAAACGAAGTAATTTTAAAATTTTAATTATCTAAAATAAATTACATTTTTGTTAAAAAGTTTGGTGATTTTTTTATAAAAATTTTTTGTTGTCCCAATATTTAGTTGTTAGGGCTCGTATTATATAGTATAGGGTAAAATACTACATACACTACTTCAGCTTGCTTTAGCAATTACAATATTAAAAGACGTTGAAATTGATGACATCTTGAATGCAGATCTAATCATAAATATCGAGCGTATATTAGAAAACACTTTTTCATACAATGATATAGAAAATGATGATGAAGTTTCTGGAGCTTTACTTAACAGATTAAATCAAAAACTAAAAGAATATGAGGAACGAGGACCAACTGCAAAACTTTGGATTCAATATTTTTATATGGTTTCCATTGCTAAAGAGTTCCTAAGAGCTGAGCGTATGGGAGGTTGGGAAGCTCATTTGAACTGCGTCAAAGAAATGCTTCCTTATTTTCACGCGTCTGGACATTTTCGTTATGCTAAGTCTTGCAGGATATGCAACAATTACAAAATTTGATTGATCCTGAAGTTTACGCAAAATTTTCGGAAGGATTTTTCACAGTTAGACGTTCAGACAAATTAAGTTGTAGAACTCCAACAGACATGGTAATCGAACAGTCTATGATGAAAGCTATGAAGACAGATGGAGGTTTTGCGTAAACTTCAGGATCAATCAAATATTGTAATTGTTGCATATCCTACAAGTAAATCTGTGCAGACTTAGCATAAGGAAAATGTCCAGACGCGTGAAAATAAGGAAGCATTTCTTTGACGCAGTTCAAATGAGCTTCCCAATCTCCCTTCCATACGCTCAGCTCTTAGGAACTCTTGCAATGGAAACCATATAAAAATATTGAATCCAAAGTTTTGCAGTTGGTCCTCGTTCCTCATATTCTTTTAGTTTTTGATTTAATCTGTTAAGTAAAGCTCCAGAAACTTCATCATCATTTTCTATATCATTGTATGAAAAAGTGTTTTCTAATATACGCTCGATATTTATGATTAGATCTGCGTTCAAGATGTCATCAATTTCAACGTCTTTTAATATTGTAATTGCTAAAGCAAGCTGAAGTAGTGTATGTAGTATTTTACCCTATACTATATAATATTACAACTCTAGAGATGAATATACGTGGCGTACTCATGCATGTTATGACGATTACAATTGTTACAACTTTTTGCACCGCTATATCTCGGAAACGGTGGCTCGTAAGAAAAAAAGTATAAATACATTTTTTATAGATAATTTTATGGTCTATAATTCTAGTCTGAGGTATTTTTATGATAAAACTTACCGTTTTGCTGAAAATCGCGAAAAACTCATTTTTTTGACATTTGACCTTGAATAAAATTTTTTCCATACACGGGAATGATGGGGAACTTTCAGGTTTTGTTTATAATTGTATTTTGAATAATTGTACCAAAATTCAGCTTGTTGCGAATTTATGTAATTTCACCCCAATTTTTTGGTCTAATTTGACCGGACTACAAATAAAATATTTAACCCGAAAGAAAGATAATAAGAAACACAGTAACACATTGTAATAAACTACAGGGTATTCAATGTGAAATACTGACATAACCAGACCTGACCTGACCATTTGAAAATTATAATTTTTAAGAATGTTTTTTGAACATTCTGTATATGAAAGTTCAACTTTATTGTTAAAGAATAAAAAAACGTAGATGTTATTTGTGATTTTTTGGTGAATAATTATTTGGATTTCTAAACGTTTTCAAATGAATTGCAATGACATGGCAACGTTGCATCGTTCAAAAACAAAATAGTTGTAAATCCTAAAGAGGGCAATCTTGAGGTACCTACAAATAAATATATAAGGTGTTCTATTTGGAAAATAAAGTTCTATGTTTGTTACAGTTCACAGATTTATATAGTTGAAAATAATTTTAATGAGTGCCGTCATATAACTTCAGTCTTTGATTTTTTAAAATATTTCTATACAGCGTGCGTTTTTAAAAAAAAACCAGGGTCGCAGCTGTTTTATTTTTTAGGGGACAGCATTGTATCTGCGTCAAATTAAAAAGTTTTAAATATGCTGCAATCAAGTTCGGAAAATTAATGTTTAACGCCTATTTGTTGTTGTGTGAAACGTTAAAGTTTTTTACTTCTGAACCATAAACTATAGGATCCATCCGACGAAAGGCTCCTTTCATGTTTCCTTGACGTTTCAACAGTACGAAAAGTAAATCTCGCGTTATTTTTATTAGACAGATAATACCCAAAACTACCGGACCAATTCTTAAATTTACATTTGTATGTTAAGAATATCGTGTAGATAGTAAGGTAACAAAATTTGTCTAATCAATCATCTCCACCAATTTTATTTAAATTTTATAAAATATTGTACTTGGGGTTTATGAATCTACCTTCATTTTGTTTATTATCATTATAATTTTTTTACTGTTAGTTTTTCTTCTTGTTTAGCACATAATACGAAATTCAGTAGGCGGTTTTCGTATTGATGTGGATAGTATGCTTGCCTTGTTCTGATCCCTGGCATTTCCATTTCTTTTATTGATCAAATCAAGAACGGTATACCCCATTTTCCAGAAATTGTATGAATACAGTGTTAAATTGCACCTATTTAAATTAATATATATATATATATATATATATATGTGTGTGTCCTGACACCATCACAAAATTTTGTTATGGAAAAACTCGCGTGAAACATATACATAGCATGTTTGTACATTAACAAATATCAGACATATCTTTATTTTAAATTAGAGGTGTTATGATAAAAAAAATAGAACTCGCAAAATTGAATTTTATCATTTTTCGAAGAAGTTGCATTTGTTCCGAACCATTTTTTTTAGTAGTACCCTATGCCTATAAATTTTTTTAGAAATGCCTGTAAGTTTTTTTTCTGAATTCATTGACGTATTATGAAGTCTTATTTTGCTAAATACTTGTGTTAATAACACAATTATGTGCATATACAAATCTAGTGACTTCATGCTAAAATTTATGTTATCAAGTTTGACAATTTTTTAAATTTTTGTTAAGGTAAAGTAGAATGCAGAACGAAAGAGGCCAGGAGCAGGGTTTATGAAGTGTGGCTTCTAGACGACAGTGTCGCAATGATTGTAGCATAATTGTGAATTTCAAAGATTAAAGAAAATCTAAATTTGATAAACACATTCTGAAAACTATTACTATTATTTATTAAATGTGGCAGAAATAATATATTCTAGATCTGGGTGCACCCACTGCAAAGACGTTCTCCCTTTCGAACGAACAATGAACTCGACCGAAATAAATTGAAACTGTGCGCAGACCACGTGATGGCCCCTTTCGTTTTGCACTAAACTCTACAATACTACAAATTTATTTAAATTTGAAAATTAAATTTCTTCTACACGAAAATAATATTTGAATAAAAAAATGTATTGGAAATTTAAAATAATTGTTAATGTTTGAAAATATTTCAGCACAATACATCAATAATTTATACAAAAATATATATAGGGTGTTATTTAAAAATTAGTTGAATGTCGAAAAAACAAAATAAACGTTAAACATTATTTTTTCAAATTACATCGTAGTATATGGCCATTTTTCGAAACGTACGGTATATAGATATACAATGTGATTCTTAAAAATGTGAAAAACTTGCTTCCTCAACATAAGTTAAGTTTACTGGAGGAACGTCTTTGCTAAATCAGCATTTAAAAAATTCAATTCCATCATAAACATAGTGATTTGACATTTATCGCGATTTGTACTTACAAAACCACTACAAAATATGATCTTTTTTACGCACGGTTTAGTTATGGAGATTTTCGTATTAAAATTAGATAATATATTGTAGCCCTCGTTTGACGATTTTCATACTAATGAAAGTATTTTTTTGCTTGATGTGTTGCGTTATAAATTACATGAAGACTGTTTTTATTACGCCTCTGACCTTTGTGAATTTCAAAATTTTATAGGCCTGTTGTTGATTACGTTACCGAGATTTATTCTCACTGTGCGCATTTTATTTATAGCAAGAAAATCGTCATTGTTAGGATTATAATGAAATTTTATGACGTGCAGTAAAATAGGATTAATGTAATTGTTTATTTTTCTGAATAAATTTTTGTAAAGTTAAAAAGAAATTTTTCCCAAATATTTTATCTTATTTTGATTCCCTTTATTTACAATTGTAACTTCCTCACAACTGGATACCAATTTATGACATTTTTGTGAAAAAATAAAATATTGATTTTTATTATTATTAAATTCTGCATATATTGTTGCACCTGAATTAATTAGTGATATTAACAATAAATCATAATCAACAGCCATATTGCATTGTTTGGTTAAGAAGAGAATGTATGTTTGTGATAAGAAACGACAAAAAGATAGCATTCTTTTTTCGGAGAATGAAGTGGGTTTTTTTTAATATATTCGTAAGTATGTCAAGTGTTTCCGACACATTTTATGCCAAAAGTCAGAACTCATAAACATTGTTATTAGTTTGTCGTAACTAAACAATTTGTTTTGACGTCTGCAACTGATGACGATGTGAATATGTATGTATCGTAAAGAATTCAGTTAAAGGAAATTTGTTTACTTAGAAACAAATTTTATTTTACGGTCTCTATAAAAAAATTCATACATTTACTTAACACTTGTTCGACATTATTTATTAGACGTGTTGTAATGACGCTGTTATTTCGCCAGAGTTGAAAAAATGACCATGAGGCGTTATCAGTATCACCAACAAGTGGAGGGCCTACGTTGTGTTTAAACTGGGATAACATGTCCGGTAATATATTGAAAAAATGAAACAAATGTAATGAAAAGAATAAAGCAACGTAAAAAAATAACATAAAAAATGTTGATTTTCGTCTGTTGATATATCCTTCTAAATTAAAAAAATAAATAAATAGAGTGACTTTTCTTTTAGATTCCAACACAACCGCCTCTGTGCCAAGCTCAATAGCAAGCGCATCCGCCATGCCACCAGCTTGCGAACAATTGCAAGGCCCAGTCATACCAACTTGTGTTTATCTTCATAGCAACACCGCCATAATGATGGAAATCGAAGATACCCCTTCAGCTACCTCTGATATCATTTGCCAAGCGATCATTAATAGCGACGAACTCGGCTTAAACAAACAACTATCATCTCAAGTTTTTACTTTATGGATGACCAGTCCACTCTTAGGTGCCCCCTTCATTCAAAAATAGCACTTTTGCATTGTATAATTTCAGAACTACAACTTAAACCAACACACAAACCCTACGATATTCGTCAAAACTGGCGAAATTTAATAGCTCATTACAGTCACGCTTCGTACAGCAGACAACAAAGAGACGAACCTAGGATTATGTTCCAAAGAAACATCTTCTTTCCTCAACACCTAGAGGAAAAAATCAAGTCGGTTTTTCCAGTTGTTGAATTTTTGAAAATATTACATTAGGTTTTCTAGGGACCAGAAGATACTGGAACTGCTGTACGAAGAAGCAAGGCACAATATTCTAGAAGGTCGATATCCTTGTGAAGTCGCCCATTATATAATGTTGGGGGGAATCCAAGCAAGGGTGGAACTCGGACCCTACAACCCTCAAGTGCATTCCACCCACTACTTTAGGGAAGAACAGTCGAAGTATTTGCCTGTTCACGTCAGAAAGAGCTCCACGTGGACGTGGTTACCCATCAGTTCGAAAAACTCTGCAGAAGTTAGGCTTTTGGAGCAGTTTAAACGCATACCGAACTCCGCCACAAACAGGAAGTTAATGAAAAAGTATTTGGAGTTTTGTTGGTCGTTACCTTTTTATGGGTACGTATTTCGGGAGCTGTGTTGTCATTGGTCGCAGATCTGCGTATTTTGAGGGGCAGATTGAGCAACCGGTGCGCGGTTTGACGTCTTTGATCACCTACCAAGACCTTCCGGTTCTGGTAGCGATTAACGCTAAGGGGGTTTACATTATAGATGACACCCAATGCGTGAGTACTACTTTCTTTTTTGTGTGTCTTTATTATTAGAAATTTTAGTCTCTTCTTCTGGGTCTACGCTTCGAGGAACTCAGCTGGGAATACGCCAGACCTTCCAAAGAAGAAGACTCCAACTGTTTACCATGTCTTTTCATACAGTTCATGGTAGTGGAAAATGGGGCACGAGTTTCAAAAATATTACAAGTTTTTTCGAAACAAGCAAGTTTGATGGACACGCTGATAACAGGATTTGTGCACCAAATTAAGGCTAAAACGAATGATGAAACCGATAAAGCGTATGAACAACAAATGAATACCGATAATGGTGAATATACAAACCAGATAATACAGTGTAAATAAGTTTTTTGTTTGCAGAAACTCACTCATCGTTAAATGTTGGAATTAATCATCATGCACCCACTTTACCATCGCTTACCAATAAATTAAGTAAACTAACATTAGCTACGTTCGATGAAGATGGACATTGCATTGGACAGATGGGTTCTTGGTCGTTTAGTTACTAAATGGGTTACTACTTAGAATTTTTATTTGTTTCAGTTCACACTGTGACATGATCTCATTTATACATAGCTTTAATTTTTTTAAATATATTGTTTTCATTCTTCTTCCTGGTATGCGTCCACAAGTGGCTTGAGTTGGGCATTTAAGTAACGCACGACGGCTTCGTATCTAAAAGAAATAGCGAAATTGTTAGTTTGACAATCTAGATCCTAAAGAGTACGTCGCAACGCCCAGGAGGTACTTTAAAGATAAGGAGAATCGGGCAATGATTTTGAAAACAAAAGAACGTCATTATTTTCATTTTTCGGAATGTAAACAAAAGCATATCAAACAAATGCGATGTATGTGGTGGTTGTTGCAAAACTAGCTTTGCAGATCTGGGTAATCTGAGCTCTGTATTTGATACACATACAAGGATACCATTTCTTACATTTGTTTTGACACAATATAGATGAAATCCTTAACAGCTTCAGCTAGGTACAACAATGTTCAAGATATCCATCTTTGAACAATCCATTTTGTTTCTTTTTAACTTTGGCGCTGTCAGATGTACGTGGTTTTAATAATCTTTTAAAAAATATGTCCATACTTATTACAAAATAATAAAATCAAAATATTAGATACTGCACTCAGTAGTTAACAATACAAGTATGAAGTTACGCATCGCTGCCAATTAAAACCAAATTGAAAGTTCCAGAAATTTCCACTGCCATCTACCACTGTTGCAAATATGGTGAAAACATACTTAGTGATAGAAGATAGCGCCGGTAACAAACAAAGAGTTGTTGTTTCAATAGTATTTTTTAGCTGTAGTCTTTTCTAAAAAAAGCTTGGCAACCAGTGATCCCAAATACTAACCTCAATGAAGAGAGATCTCGATGACGCCCTAAACGAATTTCATAGCACTGCAAAAGAAATGTCAGTTCGTTAACATCTTGAAAATATTTTATCTCGTCGTCTTCTTGAATCGTATCCTGGTTGATACTGTACCATTGCTGTTTGTCCTTTAAAAACTGTGTCCACTTGAAAAAAATATATGAGAAATTAATTTAACACTTTCACGATCTTACATATTCAAACTGTTTTTGTATGTCTACAGCTCTGTTTAGTAACATTTGTTTGAAGTCGTTCAGACATTCTTCCCGAATTTTAGCAGCACTCCGTGGACTGAGGCTCTCTGGATTCCCCAGTTTGCTTAGATATGGCGCCAAATATTCAACCCCGGCATCTTCAATTTCTTTTTCTTTGTGTTCTTGTTGCTCTCTTTCCTATGGAATTTTTTTTAAATCTGAATTAACTGATCAGTAAGTACTCACCTTCTCCAACATTCCTAATCGGTAATCTTCATTTTGTTCAATATTGAACAACGAAACGTCCAACTTAGGAAAAGCGGTTTCGTGATCCCTGAGTGCCACAAATTCAGTAATCTACAACCAACCATAAATTTTCCTTCACCACTAATTGTGCAGAAAATACTTGGTCTTCAATTTCTCGAATACGCGATATGGATACTTCTTCTTCCTGCAACATCTTTTGAAAAAGAAGAAACAACTCCAGTTGTCTGCGAGGTCTGGCCCCTATTTCCGCCTCGTACCCCGACGTCACATCAGGTGAAAATAAAACATCGTCCCCCATTTCGGCTATCGCCGGTTTTATAAAATTCCTGGTGGATGCTGTCACTTTTCCTTCGCCAAAATGGTACTGGAGGTGGATTTGTCTCTCAACGATTGCAAACTCTCGAGTCGCCACGTCATCGCGAGCCGGGATGGCTTTATTCCTGTGGAATTTTTCCACCACTTTCTGAAAAATAACAAAATAAGATTGTGCGAGGGTTGTTTGAATATTCGTACTATTATTAGTTTTCTGTGGCTTTCAGTGAATCCTGGAGGTGGGTAACCTTTGCGGGCGTAATTGACTTCTCGGAAATAGAATCTGTAACTCTTGGTTTTTGTCAAGTTATTTTGAGTGTTTTATACCTACAGGTCTTCACGGTCGACGTAATTTTCTAACATGTGTTCGCGTTCGACTTCGATTCTTTCCAAACCATCATGGCGGGCGTTCGAATTGAATATAATTATTCTTGGATTCGTTTCAGGTTCTTTGGAATGGTATCTGTGCTCTGAAACGGATTAAATAGTTGTAGTAGTAGTACTCTCAGGAATCAAAATAGTTAAAAAAAAGGTCTAGGTTTATGTGGACAAAACTTTTCTTATCCATGGAGTACAATACATAGAGGTTCTTCAAAAAATTATAAAATTTCATTTTGCGATTCTGTGGATTGTTAAGGTACAGGTGACGAAATACGCGTGACGTCATCACATTGTTGGTGGGGATAATCAGACAAATTTTAATTAGCCTTTTATCATCTACAGGATATTTCTAAAATACGTATAAAACTTGACAAAAATATGTCTACTAAATATCAATACATATGACAGCCACACAGACGGAAACAGGAGACCTATTTTTTTATACTCTAGGGATCATGAAATGTGTTGAAAACATTCTCCGGATGGATGCTCTTACAATACGTTCTTAGCTTGGAAAGTAGAAACGGTGTAGACGGTGAAGATTGATAGTTTGTTTCACAACTTTTACCTATAACGGCGTCCTCTCTCCCAGGTCCAAAGTACTCAGTAATGTACTGAGTATTATAATCAAAAACAATCTTTCGCAGCTTGTCTTGCCTATTTTCGTATAAATCCTCAACCCGTGTGGGTATAGTACAATCAAAATCTTTAAATCTTGTTATTTTGACTACCATGCCATCGTACTGTACATACGGTGCATATTCCTCCACCAGGGTTCTTTTGTACCACGTGGTCATCACACCTTCAGGGTACTTCTGCTTAAGAACTGAAACCAAACTTAACAATCTTAGGCTTTATCAATTTTTTTAATTACCGCTGTGAGTTATGTAAATTTTGGTGCTCCAAGGCATAGGCATATCCAGATGTTTTTCTTCCATTAATTTGGCCAAAGCGATTTCATCGTCGTCCATTTGCAAGTTTTCGACAGTTTGCCGCCAATGAAGAGGTTCACCAATCAAAAGGTGTTCCCATTTCGTAACGTCGTGTAAATTGTAGTCGATCGATCCTAGACCTTCTTTGCAGTCTTGCATATTTATCTAAGAATAGAAAAACCTAACAAGGCTTGTTCAAAACTCACTGGAAGCTAATTGTGTTTTTCATTGATTAAATATTACTACTGTTTCACCGAAAGAGTAGTGCTCTAGTTCTTTCACAGTTTGCTATATAGTGACTAGAGTGATTTTAAATTTACGCTTTGTCCTGAGTCCTGAGTAAAAGCTGTACACCTTAAACTAAATTCTGACATATTTTGAGTATATTTATGACCTTCCTCCCCCCTCCCCCCACATTTCTATAATGGATCACAACAGAAATCAACAATAATGGAACTCCATTCTTTAAATGCTAAATAATTTTACTACACCAGACAACTCTAGCGACACTATATCGCGTCGTCAGAGATGAACACACTAAAGCATAGGTGTTTTTCGACATTGCTAACAATTTAGTGTTGTGGGTTCTATTTGTTTATTGTGTCTACTATAAGCCTACTTTTGAGTTTGATTTAGACAGTGTGATCTTCACAACTATCTGTTCAACATAAGTTAGTTACTTCATTGCCCACTGATGTTATAGCAAGAGATTGGAACCACAATTATGTGTACAAGGCTAGTGAGACAACTAGAACAATAAAATTTGTTTAACGTCTTTAATTTTCAGAAACTAGACAAGAATTTTACCTCCAAGCAATTATAGACTTATAGTCATGTTCTTACCCCGGAAATACTGTAACACTTAATATTAAAATATTTAAAACCAAACCAAGAATCCTAAGCCACTGTTTTAGTGCCTCTTGAGTGTCAGTATTTAAAGCTGCAATAAAAAACGCTTAGATGTATACTGTGTGCGAAGAATAAACAGATAAGTTCTGATTAACGATTTACCAGCTTACGACAACCTTAAAACGTTTGCAGGATTGCAGGGCATCGGGTTTTGCAATTTCTAAGTTAAATTGTAAAATGTTGTTATACAATTTTAATTTTCTTTAATGTAATTTTATTTTATAAAATGTGCATAGCATTTACTATGCAAAATTTTGAAATGACGATATCAGATTTTTGATGAGGATGGTTAGACAAATCTTGGTTAGCCTTTTAAACAATATTCTTAAAGTGCATATGACATTAAATTTCACAAAAATCAGTCCACTAATTTTGGAGAATATCTGTCTAATAAAATCTCCAACATGCTATACAAACTCTAGGGATGGAACGTGGGGAAAACATAAAATTAACCGTTCACCCGGGGGCCCTCTTAGAAACAATTTTAACCTAATTTACACTCAGGAATAGGAAAGGAAGAAAAACAATAATAAATCCAAAAATATTATCATGATAAACCTGAATAAATTTGACACCGAAAGGAAGTTTACTGTATCTGAAAGAATTTAACTCATTTACATTTGAAAATATAAACTTTGAAGTAATAATTTTTACATGGAACACCATATATATTTGAAAATAATTGTAAATTGCAATTGCTCAGGTAATTTTTAATATCTGAGTAGTTCAAAATAATTAAGAGAATTTTTTCCAATACCATCTTGTTTCTACATCCTTTACATTTATACACAGTTTGTGGATACAGTTCAGACGACACAAACAGTGCATTTATTGGTTGACTCACTTTGGTATTCACACCTTTTATATCTTTCATCGCTTATTTAGTGATGCAATGGTTTGTAGACGATTTTTGGTTTTCCCATGCTTGTAAATCTATTTCAAGGTTAGTAGTAGTACGCTTTAAGGCAAATCTTCAGAACACTAATCGTCAACGTAAACTCCCGGCCTTGACTTTTGCAGCCTAAAACGGGCACGCCTATGGATTATTCCGCGGTGTCCGCATCCTAGTCCTTTCATAGTTGTAATTACCAGGTCGCGGACACAGTTTTTTCTGTCACTGATAATCAATATTTGCCCCAACTAGAATGGTTTTTATAACGTCAATGATAGAGTCTTTTACTCTATATTGATGTAGTCGGAATTATGTTTTTTTTTACACAATTACAAAGGAAGATTAAAATATTAAAACGAGAATTTTAAATATGTTTTCTAAGTTGTGTTCAAAATACGTTCATTGCGAAACTGAAAATAGTTTCTCAATGAAAGCTTTTGTGAAACTGCTTACAAAGGTGTTTTTAGAAACTATTAAACTATTCATAACAGATTTTACACGGCTGATAAGTTTTCAAATTTTAATTTAGATTTGCTACACACTCTGTAAATACTTCACTGTTTTATTTAAGGAAACATAATTGTTATAATCAGAGTTAGGCACAGCCGAAGTGATGAGCAATCAATCAGACAAACATTAAAAGCGACGGTGCGATGTCCGGCGATAAATTTGGCTGGCCGACTGTGCAGTCTCAACCACGTCTCAACCTCAGTGGCGTTTGATGCATATCAGAGTTTATCTAATCAAGATCATCACAAAAATTGTGATGTTGAACAGTCATTTTAATTTTTAAGGCATTTTAACATCCAGGGGAACTCGTATAACTGAGGAAAACCGAAAAAAAATAGTAATTGTTATTAAGAATTCCCGAAGTTGTACGCCACGACTGCAATAGCGCTGGCGATCGGACGGCAATGATCATCACTTCCGTAATGCCGAAGTCTGGTTATAATATAACAACTGTAAAATTTTTATTATGTTCTAAGCAAATATATAAGCAAAAAACCCTGCCAAATTTATCGCCATTTCCAGAATAACTTGGGAGTTGTAATTAATTACTTAATTAATCTGCCAATTTTCATTCGCATTCTGTATGGCATGTGAATAAAAATCGAAAAAAATATACAAAAATTTTGTACTACTCACCCAGTAATTCAAGTGGTTCCACACACTTTCAATCCCGCTGTACATCGGACTGCTCACAGGATGCGGCATCCCCGTACTAGGTTCCACGAAAGTAACTTCATCAATCGCCCTCCCTTCCGTCCGTATCATTACCCAAAAATGGAACCGCATCCCTTCCAGCTCGTCAAACGGCGGCTTCTCCTCCTCCTAAATCGGTATTTTTCCAAGAAAAAATATAATCATCGCAGTGGAACAAATAATTGGAGTAATCCCACCTCCTCCCTTTGTTTCTCCAGCTCGGCTTGCCTTTCCTCTTCGGCTTTGATCTTATCGATCTCCTTCTGCTCCATCATCAATAAAAATTTACTTCGCAGATCTCTGGGGGGTCTAACGGTGTATTTCTTATTGTCTTCACCTTCGTCACGTACTTGGTCCTTTTCCTCGTCCGGTGGGTATGGAGAATCGACGCGGCTCATTATTCGCAAGGTGACATCTCTTACGGCATAACCGAAAACCACGTATGCGTCGTAGCCAAGCCCAATCAGCAGGGAGCAGAGCGCACAGGCTATTTCGTGTGACTGGCCAGCTCTGCGGATGAAGATGGTGTGAGGTGAGTAGAAACGGTTCGGCTGGAAAAAGAATGTGTACTTAGTAATTTACGTGGATAGATGCTTAGCAATTTTCGCTTCGTAAGAAATTCATTGAAAAATATAATGGCGAAAGAGACACAATGTAGAAGGACATATTATCTTAACTATCTTTGTGATGCAATAACTTTACAAATGAAAGATGTATGCGCTGTTATCAATTTATAATAAGAAACGATTTACACAATGTACTGATTGTTCTTCTTCCGAGAGATTGGTTTATACCTCCGTTAAGTTTAATAAACGTAACGTTTTGATAGATATTTGTAGATTTGTTGATATTTGCATTATATACTGTTTATATCTTCAGTCAAATAATATTAACGCAATATTTAAAAATTATCCCGGCGCATCCACCATATTTCCATTCTGAACTAATCTAATTTTTTTAATTTTAAATCGAATTATTAGCATCAATGTGAGCATGTCAGTTCACAGTTATCAATTTTGATATGAGCAGGCCTAAAAACCAATGAGAAGATATCAACTACTGAATCGGCGTCGAAATTTTCAATTTTATACCACAGGTGTGCCATCATTAAAATTTTAAATACAAGGTGTTCAAAAAATGGCTCACCAACTCAACAGTACATTATCAAGTTTACAAGTCTAAGTTTAGAAAAATAATTAAAAAATTTCTTACGTCAATTTTACGTTCGCTTACAAAAACAAAGTATCGATTTTTTTCTTGTTACATCATATAATGAAGAAAACAGTGGAAAAAGATAAGATACCTCCAATAGCTATTTGTGCAATAAGATAGGAAAAGTGACATTTTTCCACATTCTAGACATGAGATTTTTGATCGAGACGAAGTCGAGATCAAAAACATGTCGTGAATGTGGAAAGACACTTTTCCTATCAAATTGCACACAAAATTTTGTAAAATTAGGTAAAAAAACTCTTCATTATAAATTTAATTGAATAATAAAGTATCAAGTCCCTTTTAATGCAATAAATTTGTTGTCATGGAAAATACAAACAAACAACGCAACATTTTGCAATTTTTCAACGTTTGAAGTGTTTTGGGTGTTTCTTGAGGTAAAAATGTTGGCAGATGATGTTTCATCAGTATCTTTTGATGTTGAAGAGTCAGCCACACTGGCACGCAATTCACTATTGCCCGAGAAATCAAAGAAAAATTATAAAAAGGCGTACACGGAGTTTGAGAATTGTTTTGTTTTATTTTTCCGCTCTAGTTAGGAAAAATTTCACTTTTCCAAACCCAAATGAATGTGGAAAACTAGAACAATTAACAACCGAATTTTACAAAAGTATTTTGCATATTGATGGTCCGATCGGTTTCAGCTACCCAACACAAAATAGTGAATTAAAATGTGGTGAATTTTCGAAATAAAAAATTAAATTTTTAAGGGTTTTTTTGTCTTCTACATTTGGACAAAAGAATTTTTTAATTCATTTTTTCTCTGTTCCATAAACGGTCCTGAACAACCTGTCGTAGAGTTGGTGCGCAATTTTTTGAACATCTGTATGTTGCCAACCTGACAAAAAAAGGACAAACATTAATAGTTGTCCGATATTAAAAATAAAGGCGATGGACAATTCTCCTGTGTTCAGCTGACATTTTTCAAAAGCAACAGAAAAACTGATTCCTCCAAAATCAGCAAGTTGATACGAAAAAGAGTACGAACAATTTACATATGTATTAATAATCGGTTAAACCCAGCGGTTGAATAATTGTTGTTGCTGAGTTTCTATTTAGCAAAAAAAAAATCGTCAAAATACTTTGATTTCAAGTTTTATTGTGTCAAAAATAACAGTCTCGTAAGTGTTGCTTGTAACAGTTGGGAAACTGAATCTACCTAACGGTTTAAAATAAAAATAATTAAAATATAGAGAAAGCTTTTTCAGTTGTTTTAGTTAGACTAAAATGATATGATTAAAGAGAAGTTAAAAATACAGGCAAATTTGGTTAAAGATCCAAAAGAACAAAGAGAGAAAGCAAGAACAGGACATTCCTGACTTCTCTGAATATTTTTTTAACTCTGAATTAACAAAAATACCGCTAGAAGAAAAATATTATACTATTTTATAAAAAAAAAAACTGGACAAGGTAACAAAACAATAAGTTTGTTAATAACGGAGATATTATATTTTGAAAATGTATTAACAATACATATAGTATTTGCCAAAATTAAAAAAACACCAACATTGCATTCTACCTTGAAAACACAACTGACAACACCGGAGTATTATATCTGAAGTTTGACATGGGGGAGGGAAACAAAGATAGGTTTATAACCAGAGTTACGCAAAGCCGAAGTGACGGAGAATCGATCAAACAAATATTATATATGACAGCGCGATGTCAGGCGATAAATTTGGCTGGCCGACTGTTCAGTCTCAACCTCAGTGGCGTTTGATTCCCTTCAAGATCACATCTGATCAAGAACATCACGAAAATTGTGATGTTGAACAGTCATTTTTAATTTTTAAAGCAATTTTAACATCTAGGAGAACTCGTATAACTGAGGAAAACCTAGAAAAAGTAGTAAGTGTTATTAAGAATTCCAGAAGTTGTAGACCACGACTACAATAGCGCTGGCGATCGGACGGCAATGAGCATCACTTTCGCGATGCCGAAGCTTGGTTATAACTAATTTATACTCAATTGCAGATTCTGGAAGGGTTTTGAAGTTTTAAAACGTGTTTTTGAGATATATTAAACTCAAATTCTACAAACGTTAAAACGAGTATAATTGACTTAATCTACTTTTGCTTGCGTATTTCGTGAGGACAATTTTGACGTTCGTTGAAGTTTAATACGAAAATTACCATTGGAATTTTTTTTGTTAGCAACTGAAATCAACAAGTGGTAGTTTTTTAATTTTGGCAAAAACTATACAGTCGTTTCCAAAAAATTTCGGACAAGATGAACAAATTAGGTTCTCATAGATCAATGAAAAGCAATAGGAATACCACTTTCATGTCATTTGCCCGACATTTTTTGGAAACGACGGTAAGCGGCAAACGTCAGGACTCTTAAAAAATTAAAAGTAAGAGCTACCACTATTTTACGACAGTTCGAACATAAAGTGGTGGAGAAAGCAATTCGGACATTATTTTTCTGTCATTTAAATAAATAATAGTTTAAAAAACTAAAAAAACACGCTTTTATTGCTAATCGAACTAAAAACTAGAAAATAATTTTTAATGACAGAGTTTAATATTACAGTAGTAGAAGATCAAACAATCAATCATAATAAATCACCTCAAATTAAAATTATAATAAAATTTAAGTTATTAACAGAATAATTCAATTCAGAGTAAAAAGCGTGGGGTGCATTTTACTGCGGTTCATAACTATCCTCTCATAGATAGTTGCCAATAGAATGATTGTAATATTTAAAATATCAAGCATTTTTTCATCACCCTATCACTATAATCGCAATGTAATGGTCTTTCAAAATCCGTTAAAAAATATTCCTTGCAATTTAAAAAAAATATGTTTGTGTCGCGACACATACGTCATATATGCGTCATATTTGTAATGTATCTACTAAATTAAGTTTTCCCTTTTAAGCTAAAGGTAATAGCTTTTACAAATTTTCAATACTTTCATCCGTATAACGCCACGGAATTATAACTAGAACAGCCTGTATATTACTTATATGAGACGGCCAATACGCAGAAGAAACAATAAAAAAAAAGAAGTACGGCTGGGGAAGAGCTGATTAAGAGCATAGAATAAAAGAGTGGTGAATTCAGAACTGGTGGTAAGAAACCAGAAGGAACAATGAGCAATAGAAAAGAAGAAAAATGAAAAATACCTAGCAAGAAGGAAACAGGTTTTCAAATAAAGTAGAAATTCTAGGATGGAAAAGTCTAAAGAAGTTTCACTCTCTTCAATTTAAGTTTCTGCAGGAATAAATTATCCAAAATGGATAGTGTCATTATTGATTCATGGAAATTGTTACTTGTCCCTACCATTGCTGAAATATTATTATTATTAAGTTCCACAAGCATTCGCCTAATGCAGAACTGTACCTAAATGCTTTTACTTGGTTAAAATTGCCGACTTTATGCTGCCCAAAGAGCAGTTAAATATATCAAATAGATGTTGGACTTCCTGATAATTTTGAAACATTTGCAGCATAGGCGAATATTTAAATATGTTAATTTTTGAAGAGGGGTTGTAAAATATCTGCAGATACCGACCACAATGCGATGAAACGTGAAAAGGATTTTTTCCAGTAGGTAAGGACAATCAATGATACCATTTATAAGTTTGAATAGAAAAGTTAAGGAGTATATTTTTCTATGTTCCCGCAATCAACTTTCGGCAAAATTGATTTTTCGCAGTTACTACCTGTTCGAGGATAATTTAATGAATGTTTACGAAATATTTCAATTTTTTATTAATTTCTACTTCCCGAGCGTAAGCCAGGATGTATTGTAATCGAGTCCATCGGGTGGCTTGGTACTCACATTTTCTCGATGTGTCATGACCCTTATAATACGAAACGTTTGTCTGTCCGCCGTCTGTGTCAGTTTTTGTTTAGACAGGTAATCTCCAAAACTGCTGCACCAATGGTTGTCAAATTTTGTATGTATATTAGGACTATCATGTAGATGGTAAAACGCTAACCACCAATGACGTCATCTTAAAAATTTACAATGGTAAATTTGTTTGTAGTTTCATAAAATAAGATACTCCTGCACTCTTGTGGTATATCAATCCGTGTTGATTATTTACCTGAGACATCGACATTTTCGGAAAAAATCAAAATTCTATAACAACCATTTTGCACATTTTTTTTTAAGTTGTCGTAACCATGGTAAATTTTTAATAAGAATATACTTGTTTATCCCCCAAAAAATTGATGACGTCATCTCAAAATTTTGGCGAATAAATCATATCTAAAGTGTGCAAAACAGGGTGAGTCCATACTTGTGATTTATCATTGCGTTCATATTTTTTAGAACTGCTTATACAGGTGACACAAAAAAAATAATAAAAT